TTAATTATTATATTATTAGGTAATTTATTTATTTATTATTCTAAATATAAAATGAATAATATATATTATTGGCTTTTTTTAGCTATTAGTTTCAAAATTGGATTTAAAAATTTTAGATTAACCAAAAATAATTTAAAAAGATAAAACTAAATTTTATATTCTTTTAATATTTTATTATAAATATATATAATGGGCCGGCCCACTAATTAAGTGGGCCGGCTCGAATACCATATATATATATATATATATAGGAGGAAGAAAGTAACAAATATTTTCAGCGCGATTTTCTTAAGCCCTTACACTGTTAGGGTTTTACTCTGGCCGAGTAAAAAACCGAAAGAAATCAGCTTTTTATCTTAATTTCCGATTGCATTTTTCACAAATTAGCGAAGAAATTCACGGTTTCAATGGCGGAAGAAAAGAATTTCAATGCCGACCATAACGCTTACCATGGCGGCGACGGTGCCGTCCAAATGTACGATCAGCAGGATCGGTTCGAATTGGGGAGTGAATTGGAAGGAGGCAATGCAGATAGTACAGGAGGTGAAGTAAAGCATTCGACGAGCCATTATGATTCTTCCTCCAGTGGGTTAGTTTTTATGATTTTGTTTTCTTTTTTCGTCGTTGGTTTGAATCTTTGTGATACCGACGTTGTGCATTGAAGAAGAACAGAGGGGGTATCGCTTGTGAAAATATGTTTATTATTTGTGGAGATTGTTCTTTGAAATCTAACTCAGTTGGAGCATAACGTTTGACCTTTTCTTATTTGCTAGCAAGCTTTTCGTTGGAGGCGTTTCTTGGGAGACCACTGAAGGTAAATTTAGTAAGCTTTTGATTACTGTGTTGTGGCTGTACCCTACAAAGAGGATTCTTTTTGCTTTTTTCTTCGGTTCTTTATTAGTTTTGTTTTTGAATTGACGTCTTGAGATGGTAGATGGATTATGTTATATATTATCATTCTTGAACCCTGCAAAGCTGGTTTAGTCTCCTCCAATGTCTATTTAGGCATCAATCAACATGTTTATTTGTGCTACTGGTTGTCTCTTCTGAGTTTATTGTTCGTTGTACAAGTCTTTGCAAAATATAATTGGGTTATGATTCTCGTTATTGTTCTTGCTTTTATTAATGTACTCCAGTTTCCTGTTTTTAGTTACCACCATATTGCTCTTGTTCTTTCTTTTTTAATTCCACATTGTGCTACTCGCCTCTAAAATCTTGTATGCATGGTGAAATCAAGGTTTCATTCGAAAATCCATACCAATTTTTGTTTCCTCAGATGTGTTTAAATCATTTGATTTATGCTTTTGATAATGCTGTACATCTGGCCTTTTGTTCATAGTTCAATTGGCAAAAGACTCAAAGAACCCTCGTTAGGAGGAAAAGAAAATTTGATCTTTTGTTCTCTGCTAATATGCTATTGTTTCGACGTTTTTCCCAATTCATACTGTCATCGTCCTGTTGTACATTCTTGACAAATTTTTTTTTATTATTATTATTTGGTATTCAGAGACCTTTAGTGATTACTTTAGCAAGTATGGAGAAATAGCTGATTCAGTTATAATGATGGACAAACACACTGGAAGGCCACGCGGGTTTGGTTTTGTAACGTTTTGTGATCCTTCAGTTGCTGACATGGTTCTGAATAAAGACCATGTTATAGATGGCAGAACGGTAACATAAATTTCAGTTATTTTTCTAATTCAAAATTCGTAATCTGGATGATGGATAATAGACTATTTTTATGTCACCATCAGGTGGAAGTGAAGAGAACAGTTCCGAGGGCTGATACGAACGATAAATTGGTATCAAGAACAAAGAAAATTTTTGTTGGTGGAATTCCACCTGCTTTGACTGAAGGTATTATGGTAGAAGTCAATATCTATTGTTTCTTTTCATGAGAATTAATATTAAATGAAAGATGCTCTGTTTGGATGTCCCATAAACATTGCAGATGCGTTTAAGGTCTACTTCTCTTCGTTTGGTACTATTACCGAACACCAAATCATGATAGACTATAGAACGAAGCGGTCTAGAGGATTTGGATTTATAACTTTTGAGAACGAAGATGCAGTTGAAAGTATATTCGCTGGAAACGAAAAACATGAGCTTGGAGGCAAGCAGGTAAATGAGAAATGGATTGAAGCATGAAAATCTGTTCTTGAGTGCTTTTTGTTTGTATGAAAAATCTTTTAAGAGATTTGTTATGTAACAGGTGGAAATCAAGAAGGCTATACCAAGAAGAGTTTCTTATGATTCACATAGTAACAATACTGCAGCACCACCTTCTTCAGGATATGGCATGTATAAATGTGAAGGCTTATATGATGATAAAATGGGCAGACCTTTTGGACGGTATGATGTATACGCACCCTTTGGCGGGTACGGTGGAAACTATGCCAATTTCTATGGTGCATACAATTACGGTTTTGGTTATGGTGGCCCGATGTATATAAACGGTATCGGTAGATATGGGATGACTGGTTACGGTGTCCCCAATTGCTATGGTTGTACAATGGCTGAAAGATACCATCCATATTGGTATTGAGCAATCTTTACCTAGATGGTTTCTACTATGAAGAAAGTGATGATTGATTTTGACCAGGAGCACAAATATCCATCCATCTTAGTAGCTGTGCAGTTCGAGATTTTTTCGGTGTAATATAATCGACGACGATCTTCTCTTTATTATTATTGTTTTTTTTTTCCTTTTTGGAGACGTGACGATGGAATGGTGGACATACTTCCTCTAGGATATCATATGTTTTTGAATCTTCACAACCGTAGTTGTGATATTCTCAAATAAGGAAAACATATGATGTAGAGATAATATTAGTTTACTATCTAATCTTCCTTAACCTCTGGGGTCAACCCACCTGAACTCACTAAGACCGATGATGGTTCGGTTTTGGTTCGAGTAAGGTTGGTTTTCAGGTTGACATATAGGCTTGCCGACCTCTCGACCTCTTGAGGTGATTGACATAGGTTTCTTTTTTTTTTTTTTAGTTTCCTACTTGTTTACTTTTGGTTCAATTGATTTGAGCTTTGTTGAAGCTCCAAGCATTGAGGTTTTGTGATGGTGACAATCTCTCTTCCATTGTTGAAAATATAGAGACGAACCCTTTGCTTTTGAAGCTCTTTGACAAGTTTCATAATTTTTAATAAGTGTGTAATAACGTCACATTATTCTAACCTCTTGAATAAGTTTCTGTAGCTTCTTTGGTTACTACACATAAACACGACATATTTATTGGTTCGGCACTTTAGCTTTTGCGTCTGTTACTACGATTGTCGATTTTGTCTTTAACAACATAATTTTATACTTTTGAGGCTAAATTATGATTGTCGTCTTTAATAACACAATTTTATCTTTTTGAAGCTTTTCAATATTGTCGATTCCATCTTTAACAACATAATTTTATCTTTTTGAAGCTTTTAAATTTTTTGAATCGGTGATTGAATTAGATGCTTTTTGAATCGGTGATTGAATTAGTTGCAAATTGTCCTTGAAATTGCCTTGTGAATGCAATGGTTCTCAACAACCCAAAAATGTGAATGCAATTGTTCTCATCGACCCAGATGTGAGACTCCTAAACATCGTCGCTTAAATTCCATTTTGGAGGTTGAATTGAATTACTCCACAATACTCTCATCTAATTGAATTACTTGGATACTACACTTGAAGCTATCGAACTTTCCATAATCATATAATCATATCTCAATTCATCCTAACTTTCTATGGATCTTTTATCTCGAAAAGTCATGTTTGATATCATCCAAGCTCATCTTTAACACATGTTGTACGTGCGGTCCACTCACACAGACATTGACACAGGTTAACATCTTACTTCCAATGACGACTCGTCTTTTTTCGTTGGGGCCAAGCTAGACCGTGGTGAGGTCCCCGAAAGGAGGCCATTAGAGGATGGTTTTGGGAATGTCACCCATTACTAACCATTTGACTACAAAAACTCCATTGCCCAGCAGAAGGATTGATGCTTAGTCAAATTGGTGAAATTTTGAAATTAGATAAAAATTAAATGCAGGACGATAGGATTAATCTAAACTAAACTTCGGATAATTTAGAGTTTATTAATTTATAGATTAATTAATTCAAAATTGTCAAGGGTTATAATCGTTATATTAATATTGTATGTCAAAATATTAAAATAATAATAATAAATTTGAGTATAGTTTAGTTAAGGCATATAATTTCAATTAAGAGGCAGGAGAACTTCAAATGAGATGAATGTCTCTACGAATGAACAACAAATAGGGCAAACTGGCTATGATAAATCATACTAAAAGCTAATAATGTGGAAGTCAATTGAGGACGATTAAAAACTCACAAGAAATCATAGGGTAGTTGATAATGTGTTAGCCATTCGAAAAAACTCACCACCATAAAATCATCGTAAAGTCGGTCACGCTTTAGGTGTCTCAAAAGTTTACTTGATCATGATCATAAATTGAGTGTTCATTTCTTTCGCCATTTATAAATACATGATGGAATGTCTCAATTTAATACAAGATTCCAAATCTTTCTAAATTATAAACCCCAAGAGATAATCTAATTCTAGTTTTATCTTAGTTGAGATATTAATTTCTTTAATTCACAAAAACTTAGATAGTTGATTAAGATTACCTCATCACCAATAAGATTACAAATTCGGTGCTCACAGATGCATTTACAAATAAAGCTTGGGACCATAGACAAGTGCAATATAGACGGACATCAAAAGTATAGTGCCAGTTATAATCCAATCCAGGATGTCCTAAAGCATGCCATCAACATTCATGATATATAAGTGTATTAGCCATTGATTCATTTATCCTTCTAAGAATGAAAGAAGAATAGAGTATAGAACATAATTGAACATGGAAGAGAAAAGGGTAAACATTCACACTAGAATCAAGCAGAATCATTTAGAGACAAAACTTCCTAACATTTTGATGGGAAAAGGGGCGATGTTACACTCAAATAAATCATAACATATCTGTTCTGACTGCAAAAAAAAAAATAGTAATGCTTGTATTGAGTCTCAACTATATTATTAGCATTGAAGCACAAAAGTTCCCATCAGGCGACCCATGTAATCACTTAACTAGTTATGATAAAGAGGAAGAGTGACAATGGTTCATTACTTGCCTCTCGCCAGATTTGAACAAAATAGAGACAAAATCAATCTTGGAAAACCAAGAAAAGCTCAAGACCTCGGCTTCTCCTTCTTTTCCTTGAAGAGAGCCAGCAAAGATACACCCGACACTTTCACCACCTTGAATCTGACTCCAGGAATATCACCCACAGCATGTCCTTTTCTACCGAATCCAGCAATGAGAACCTCGTCCTGTTCGTGACAATACATATTATTGCATAAATAGACCAAATAATAAACAGAGGATAATAGTACCAAAATCCCAGGCTTCTATCAAGTACTTACGTTCTCTTCAATATAGTTCAAACACCCGTCGTTCGGGACGAAGGCAGCAATCTTCTTCCCGTTTTTAATAAGCTGAACTCTTGCACACTTCCTAATAGCAGAGTTAGGCTGCTTAGCCTCAATACCACTGCACATTGCGTCAGAACATTACTTGTTAAAATATGGATTAGCCACGTAGCCTCAAAAGCACAGAGAAATTAACAAACATCTTACATCTTTTCTAGAACAATGCCTTTTGCATGGGAAGATCCGGCAAATGGCTTCTTCCATTCATTCCCAAGATGGGATTTCTTGTAGGATTTGTCAGCCCACCTTTGCCTTCTACGGTGGGACTTCAACTTGCGCCCCGCTCCCATACCACGTGTCTTCCTGTAAAATATTGCCACTGCTTTAAAGGGGTAATACAATAGCTGATATGCATCAAAACATAGAAGAACGGAGTTATTGTTTCCTAATACCCTGAAAGCCTCATTGATTTCTACTCTACAATTAAGGCTACTAAGTAATAAAACAATTAGGAGTTCGAGAATTATTGACCTCTAAAACAACCATATCGCAATTATGGTTATTGTGATATGGTTATTGTTTCCTAATACCCTGAAAGCCTCATTGATTTCTACTCTACAATTAAGGCTACTAAGTAATAAAACAATTAGGAGTTTGAGAATTATTGACCTCTAAAACAACCATATCGCAATTAGATTAGATCTGTGACATCAATCGTATTTCTCCCTTTCATAGTCATAATGACACTCATACCATCAAGAACGCTTGTATTAAGCAACGCCAACTTGTCCAGTGTGGTAGAGAAACAATGTATTGATTGTTTTGGAGTTGAACAACAGGAAAAATCCAACTATTGAGGTAAAACTTCGTTAAATCAAATCGAATCATAGCCACCAACTTATTCACATCAAAGTTAGGTGCATTATCATATCCTAAAACCTCAGATAGCTACAATGACTGTCCTTCCCCCAGTCTAGAAACGATAATAACAAAACAATGCGGAACTTCAGAGTGAGGAACGAAATAAATCGACGATTATCGGACACAAAAATTAACAAGATCGCGTTACTTGATAAAACCTACGACAATAACAAAAATTTACTTCGACTTAAGAGCACAGCAACTACGCAGCACAACTCATCAACAAATTCATCATCCACAAAAACTAACCATTTCTGTATGCATAGCAACGTTTAATTTACGACTTTTCAGATGTATATGGTCCAGTAAAACCATGCAAATCTCGACTAAACTAACTACATCCGCGCCCAAAACATTCATCATCTCAATAAAATTTATTAAATGCGTTATTTTCCTTTGATGAGATCCAATACATGAACGAAGAGAGCAACAAACTAGAAAAACGGAAAGAGGACTCACCCCATGGTGCGTGTGAGAAAATGATCTCCAAATGCGAGATTGAGGTAGCAGAGTTCCGTAAGCGCTAGAAACGAAGATGACTTCGATGTCGCCGCCGCACCGTATATCAATGAAGCCCTAGACTGTTTGGCCTTCTTTTATACTGTAGGGTTCCTTGCTACAAATTTGCCACGTCGGCATGCCCTAATTTAAAGAGTTCTTTCTTTATATATAAAAAATATATATATATATATATAGATACTTATTTACTGTAATTTTTTACCACGTAGTCTTAAGAAAATGAAAATAAATATTTATCTAGATATTAAAAATTCATATATATTTTTGAATTAAATGGTTTAAATGAATAAATATTTTAAAGGTGTTCGAAAAAAAAATAAAAAAATCCTTATTTAAATTGAATTGGAAAAGTTTATTGATTTTATTAATTTATAAAACTATATTTGAACTAACAAGTTACAATTATATATAAATATATTAAAATTTATTTAAATCTAATTTAATAATTATTTTATTATCATTCATTCTCAAACAAAAAAATTAATAATTGAATTTTAATCGACAATATTTGTTTATTGTATAGACTAGTAAAGGCCCATTATATGATTGATATGGGCCAAAGCCCATCAGCGCCAAAGCCCAATTTGTGTTTGGATCCAAATTGGAGAACCCAAAATGAAATAAAATAGTTTCAACACGACGCGTGCCGATTTAGACCCATCCAATATTTCAAGTTGGTTGGTTTAGTGACTCGAGTAACTCGAATAAAGTTCACAAGTCAATCCACCCCTTTATTTTTTAGTTGAGTTAGGTTGGGTCGAGCAACCAGATTTGTTCTTGTTTTTTTAATTATCTAAAAAATTATACTTATCCACTGTCCTTATTTTATTAATAATTATAATCTCGTAAAAATCCGAATGTCAAATATTCAAAAGTCACAGCACTTCTTATGCTTAAGATTGAGTTACACAGATTAAATATTATTAATTCATTATAATAATTTTAAAAGTCCAGTAAAGTGGTGTTGGATTATAACTCTAAATTTAAGCTAATTGAATCAACCCGATAAAAAAATATCAACTAGTGAATGGACTCAAATTTTTTATTTTAAAAAAATTTAACCCAATTCAACCTTCGTAGATCGGTTTAGGCTATTTTGAATTGGTCGAATTTTTGAATCAACCATTATATTTATATTTATTAAATTATAAGAAATAAATTATAATTTTTATTAATTTAGAAACTAAATTTGAACTGAAAAAAAAGGAAATAAAAATTGAATTAAATTATTTTTTTGTTAATTTAAAAATTATGATAATTGATGATTTATTGGGTCAAATATCTTTTCAAAATGATTTGATCACGAAATAATTTGGGCATATAATTTATATAAATTAAACCAAAAAAGAAATGAAGCCGTACGAGAAGGTGATTGGGTAAAATAGGGGGCCCACGTCAGCAGGTGTCGAAAGGAATTATGCCGCCCCCTTCCCTCTCGGGTCAGGCACCGTGAAGGAGTCTGCTTCTCACAGTCCACTAACAAAATGACACGTGAGACTGCCAGGTCAAGTACGGTTTCCCTGACAGGTCACTCTCACGAGCATGGATGTAGAACACCGTGTAAATTAAACAAAATATCTCTGACAAATTAAAAAAATGATGTTTTTTTTTTTTTTTAATTTATGTATAGTAAAAATAATAATAGAATAAATAAATAAAGTAGCATGCTCCTGAAAACCATCATTGGCCGTTGACTCACCAAGTTTGTCATTACCCCAGACATTTTCCACCGCTTGATTAGCCCCTGTCCCCACCCTCTTGTCCCCCCCCTCTCTCTCTTCCATTTTTCAATTATAATCAAATTTTAAAATTTCTATTTTAATTAATTATATTATTCTTAAAATGTAAATAAAATAAATTAAAAAGATTTATATTGAACAATCATTCAGTGTGGGGCCCTGGACTTCTCTTATGGCTTCTCGTGAAGCCTCTCTCAGTGCTTGTGATTCAGATTTTTATCATTACCCTCTCTCTTCCCGTCACCTCCCATCCAAATCAGGGCGAGCTTTTTTATTCTCACCCGTCCTAACACCTTCACCCAATAACCTCCAATCAAATCACCGCAACTTCAAAATTAATATAAAATATTACTGTAAAATCTACCGTTTAAAACTAAATTTTCGACTTTTTTACATCAATTTTTTAAAATATATGGTCGGAAATAAACGTTCAAAAAGTAAATAAAAATTATATATATATATTATATATATTTGATAAGTGGTCACAAAATTGGGTGAACTTTTTGGCATAAGAGTCAACTAATGGCAATACTTTTTATCGAACCTTGAAAGATCGTAAAGCTCAAGTCATGGTCTTTCGTTATTAACCACTAATAATGCCTATTTATGTTTTTTTTTTATATATTTTTAATTTTTATGTTTTTTTTTTATTGTTTTTATAAGATTCACGCCAAAAATTGGGAAGGTAACTTTTGAATTTACCAAACTCTAGGTAAGGATGCAGCTAGAAACGGAAAATATCATGGAGTTACCAAACTCTCTTTCAATCGCTACCGTTCATTTAAATGGTTAAAATGGAAATAAATTGAACGAATTCTTAACACTCCCGAGCTACTAAAGTAGCTTTTATATACATATATATATATATATGTATGTATGTATGTATGTATGTATGTATGTATGTATATATATATGTATGTATGTATATATGTATGTATGTATGAAGAGAAGACAAGAGAAAGGTGATAGTGATTAAACATAGGCAGAAAAAAAATTGTCCCAACTTTTTATCATTTTCAAATAAATAAAATATCTATTTTGAGGATAGTTTGGGTATTATTTTTAAATAATTTAAAATTATTTTCAAGTATGTATTTAATCGTTTAAAATCAATTTTAAAGTAATAATCATTTGATAGTTGAAAATTGATAAAATTAGATTTATGTCCCACTCAAAACAAACATATTTAATTCTCAATAAAAATTTAAAAAATAAAAAATAGAAAATAATTTATTTAAAAAATTAATTTTGACTTAAATTTTGAAAAGCTCGCACCAAAACCAAATCAAAATTGACAATTAGAAGTGTTCGTATGGTCCAAGAATCCGATCATCCTAAATTATCCAACCAAATCATAAAGATTCTATTGGTTAGAAATTTTTTTTAATTGGATTAAATTTTTAAAAAACTGAAAGTCGACCACTTTTTTATTAGGTTGAAAATTAGATTATAATTCAACCGAATTTTACCCTACTTTTACCATTATAATGAAATAAAAAGTATTTAACCTCTGTAATCTATTGAAATAATTCATGAATATTTAATATTTAAATTTTATAAAATTTTGGTCGATAAATAGAATTAAATAATCTTTAAAAAGAATAAACCCTCCCATTTAAAAACAGAGAATTAAGTTGAGTTGCAAACTTTATATACGGTTGTTATAGTCATCAACTATCTAAAATATTTCCAAACCTACTGCTAATATTTTTACTTTAAACTTTCAATTTCCGTAGATTTTTAATCTTTTGAGGTATATTTACGTCGAAAATATTAATATTAAAAACTATTAATAAATAAATACGCGTATATTTTTAAAAAATAAAAATAAAAAACAAAACAGAGGAAAAGACAGAAATGTTTTTTTTTTTTTTTTTTTTTTTTTTTTTTT